AGACTATTCTGGCCCTGTGAGTGAGTGCGGTACAGGACTTGTGACCTCAGGATCATGCGACATCATGGGGAAGACTGAAATAGATTTAAATAGTTATAAGACAAGACAGAGCATGATAAATGCTCTCAATGCAGGGGTGGAGACAGCGGCATTTTTCTGGGAGGCCCAGGGAAAGGAATCATGGAAACGTAACAGCGAAGAGACTTTAAGAGGTCATTTGGGGAGATTCACAAATCTGGCTCTTATGGAAGCTTTTAGAAATACAGATTCAAAAGACACTACTCCAAACTCATCTCATCAGAATTTTTTGAGTGAAAGGATTAAGAATCTGCGTCTTTTAAAAGCTCTCCTCATGATTCTGATGATCAGCTAGGCTTTGGGTAATACTGATCCCACAAATCTCTACTCCATGCCAAGATCCCCTGAGCAGTATTCCTTCAGGGCTTTTGTTTAGCCTCTTCTGGAACACTGCAAGCTCACTCCCTCACAAGGCAGCCAGCCAGCCCTTCATAGAAAGTGTGTCGTGTGTAGGAATTTGATTGTCAGAGATGGAGCGCAAAGATATTTGAGGCAAAGTGACTATCAGAAATAATCAGGAAATAGAGGGAGAGAAGTTTGGAAAGGACACTTGGGGTTCCATTATGGAACAAATTGAATATCAAGCTAGAGAATCTCAACTTTATTCTCTATGAGATGGAGGCCTTTGGTAGGATCTTCTCATCACTGGGTTTAAAGAGCCTGCCAAAGCAAAACGGATTGGAGATTAAGAGAATGGAAGTAGGGAGAACAGTTGAACGTTTAATTCAAGAGTTCAAGTGAGGAGTAATAAGGACTTGGGTGAGAAGCAGTCAGAATGGCAAAGTGGGGGAAAGTATGAGCCATATTGCAGGGATAGCCCTACAAAGCTTGACTGATTGGAGGCAGGGAGGAGTCAAAGCTGATTCTAGAGTTTTGAGATCCTAGAGTGCTGAAACATTAACCAGAATGGGGACATTAGGATCAAAAGCAGGTTGAGAAGGCAGATGGCAAATCAGGTTTTTGACATTTGAAATGCATTTGTTTCCATTACCTCCCCTCTCACTCTGTCACCTGTGCCAGGGCAGAGCTTAATAATGACTCTCTTTGTATGCTCAGAGGTTGACACAGAGTAGGCTCTCAAAATGTTTGCTGAATGAACAGCCACTATAAATATCTTCTCCTGTCTTTATCCTCTCTACTTTGGTTTAGGACTTACTATATCTCACTTTAATTGCAAGCCTGAGGACTGCCCCAGCTCATACTGCTGTCTTTGTGTGAATTAGAACAAGGTGCCCTCTATGAGTTTATGAAGTAGAAAAAGGGGCCTTTATCTGAGTGGATGCAGCACTTTATTCAGGGCTTGGGAAGCAGAGCACACTTCTGTAGGAAGATAAAGGATCCCCTTCCCATAGGATGAAACCTCCCACTCCCAGATGGAGGGCTTGGAGAGCTGACTGAAGAGGTGGGTTTTAGATTCCACTCATCTCCTCAGCTGGCACAGAGCACCCTGGAAAATTCTCCCAGCTGGGAGAATTTCTATTTCACTCAGAGAGAATTTTTTCTAAAACGTAATCATATCACATTCCACTTCAAACCTTTCTGTTTCCCCACTGCTCTCAGCATAAAGTTCAAAATTCTTAACTTGTAACAAAAGCCCATTCAGGACAGCTTCTCAGCCTCTCTCATGGGCCACTCGCCTTCTCCATCCTCCTCTCTAGTCACAGTTCCCTGAATGGGCAGTGCACGAGTGGGCTTCTGCCCAGGCTGCATTTCCCTTGCTCCCTGCTCAGCGATTACTGCTCCTCCCCACTCCCCTAGATGGACAGACAGCTTCTGGTTTCCCCAAGATTACTTGACTCATCTCAAGCTGTTCCCGTCTTAACTCCAGTCTGAACTAGAACTCGCCCCCACACACCCTTCCCTCCTGCACAGCCACCTCGGACCCAACACTTTCCTGGCTGTGCTCGTCCTGACTTCCTGTCTGTAACCTCCCTGAGGACTAAGAATATGTTTTGTTCCTTTCTTTTCCCCCAACACCAGTATGTAGGCACCTGGCTCATGCTTGTTGAATGGAAAAATGACTTAGAAACAAAGGAAAAGTGCAAATTTTACCACCAACACTCCCCCCACCCCCAAGAAAAAAACCCAACCAAACCAAAAAAGCAAAACAAAACAACAAAAAACAAATAAAACCCCTACAAAAGCCAAAAAATCAAAAATAGTTTTTGCTGCTTTCTAAACATGAAGTATTCCATCAATTGTCAAAGTCTTTTTATTTTGCATACCTTTCTGTTGTCTTAACATGGCTATTCATTTAGAGGTTAAAGATCTATGGGAAGATAATTTCTTGGAATGAAGTCTGAGGCTCCTATTTCAAGGCCGGTTCCCTCTGGTGTATCTGTGTTTGATTTTTGTGAGATGCTTAAAAAAAATTGCCCACAGATTCAGGTAACATACTTGAGCTCTTTAAAAACATGTCAACTTTGGGGGCTGGCCCCGTGGCTTAGCAGATAAGTGCGCGTGCTCCGCTACTGGCGGCCTGGGTTCAAATCCCGGGCGCGCACCAACGTACTGCTTCTCTGGCCATGCTGAGGCTGTGTCCCACACACAGCAACTAGAAGGATGTGCAGCTATGACATACAACTATCTACTGGGGCTCTGGGGGAATAAATAAATAAATAAAAATAATTTAAAAAAAACAAAAATGAAAACAAAAACGTCAACTTTGAAGATGGAGGATGTGTCCATCTGTTTGAGATTAAAATGCCAGCGGTAATATCTCTGATGGTGATTTCACTTGTTCCAAATGTTAGACCACCCAGTAATGAACTTAGAAATTCTTACACAGTCTATCAAAAGATCTTGCCTGGAACTTCCAGGCTAATTTATTTTTCCGTGTATATTCCTCGTTGTCCCACAAAAACTGTGAAGAAGCTGTGAGGATGTGTTCAATAAAAAAAGAAACAATTAAATGTAAAACATCACTTAAACTTCAACAAAAACTTACAAATAGGCAAAATCTGGCAGTAGGAGACTGAGACAAGGGAGAGGAAAGGCGTGCCTTAGCTGTGCAGGCCCAAATGCTGGTATATTGACGCTGCGCTTTCCTGGGACAACACAAAGACGGAAATTCGTTCTGTTGCACAGTTCTCATTGTCTATAAGGAAAAATAGTAGTTGTCAATTTTTCTTCATAGAAGCCATGATGTTAACAGTGAGAAGAGATGCTGCTCAGGGCACAAGTATGCACTTTAAGTGTTTATTTTTTTCATCCTTTTGGCCGTCATTTAAAAATATTGTCTATGATTTGTAGCATTAATAGTTTTCACTATTTCTTTTTCAGCTGGTCTCTTCAGTTTCCAATAGTATTTTAGGCTTTTTTGCTGTGACTTGTTTAGTCAGTTTTTGAAAATAAATGAGTAAATAGTTACCAATTTTAATGTTTATTTATGACTATTAACTATTACACAAGAATTGGGCTCTACACACTGATTTTTCTCTTAATAATTTTTCTCCACACCCTGTATGTTACACATACTTTGCTCATGGGAATAACTATCTAGAGATAAATTTAGATGAACTGATTTCTACTTTTGGCTTGGAGTCTATAATAGAGTATCTGAGTTACCTTATCTTTCAGACAAAAACTTGAACTTCTGAAGACTGGTATGTTCTCTAAATGCAAGGCATAATGATTATAATGAGAGTATTAATTCATATTTTAATTGATTAATACTATAATAATAAATGTACTTTCCATTTCTCACAAACTGTTTTTCTTTTGAATATGCCTCATAGCCATTTTCTATAAAATTAAGTTGCATACAACATCTCATACTGTTGATATCAAAATATTCCTCCCTCCTTTCTTTCTTTAAATATCTGTTGAGTGGCTGATGGGGAGCTCAGAGAGACATACCTTCCCACGGAAGAGACAGAATACTATCTTAAACAGCCCCTCCCACTATCCCTATGTCGACCAGTACAGCACTGGGCTTACTATGTACTCAGTAAATATTTTTCCAATTGAACTTGACATTATAAATAATTTTATCATTTATTTCAGTGGTAAAGGGTAAGTAGTGTCTGTTTATTGGTAGAATACTGTTACTTTCCAAGTTCTGAGTCCGCCCCGACCTCAAAGAAAGGAACAACCTTCAAAGCATACTTCAATCTATTCATTTGTTCATTCATGCAAAAATTATGCATGGGGAAAATGTAAAGTGGAGGGAAGGGGAAAAAGACAGGACACTCTTCTGCTCCTTTTCTGCTATGCTTAAAATTAATCATATAAGTATTTACTAAACTTGCCTCAAAGGATTAAATGAGAATAAGATTGTAAGGCTGTCCACACAGCGTCTGACGTATAGTCGATGCCCAATATATACCAATTTATTTATTATAATTTAATGGACTAAAACTAGAGGATCTCACTCCTTTATTTCTACATGACCCACCATCCTATTTTCTTCTTTTCTCTTTTTCACCCCAAGGATGGTCTGTATGTGCTTTTTTTTTCTTCTTAATCTATAGAATGAGTTCTATGCTTAGTTACCTACTAAAGTACAGACAAGAACTTAAGGCCAGCATTTTCCTTAAGTCTCTTCTACGATTTAAGACACCTCGGGGAAGGGATAGCCAAGCTCCTACATCAACGGATGATGATTTTTATCTTTATCAAGTGACCCACAATTTGGTTACTGGTGCAATGAGAAATTAAGAAAATAGCACACTTTTATGACTGTCATTTCACAGTCACTCAAATCAGAACTGGAATGCCACAAAAACAACTCCCTGTTAGCCCAGAGAAAAAAAGAAGAAAGAAAGTAAAGGGGAAATTCAGATTAGTCACAAAGAAGTTCCCCCGCCTGCCTGCAAAAGCTGCAGCATTAAAACTGAGAGAATCCGCTCTGCTCTTTCAATCGCCCTTTGGTCCTGGGACCTCTGTGTATTTTCTAATTATTACGCTTGTTTTGCCTTCAAGTCCTTTTTGTGGGGAAGAGATCAGTCCTCTCTCAGGTTCCCCTTTGCCACAGTTTTCATCGTCCCTGTATCCAGATTGTGAAGATGGAAGGGGTCCAACCCCCGGAGGAGAACGTGGGAAACGTGCCGGGGCGGAGATTCCAGAGGAACAAGCTATTGCTGGTGGCCTCCGTCATTCAGGGGCTGGGGCTGCTTCTGTGTCTCACCTACATCTGCCTGCACTTCTACGCTTCTCAGGTAAGATGCACCACTGGGCACTCTGTTGCCTCCAGCTCATGCTGATGGCAGCTCCAACAGCTGCAAACAGTCACTTGGAAATAATCTGATGCCAAAATCGTTGAGTTTTTTTTTCCCCTCAGCAATTGTAAAGTGTGGTCACATACTCTCCTGTCTCTCTTTTCCTTCCTTCTTTTCAGCAGTGGTAGTGGTGGGGCACAGGAGAGGTAGGGGAGGTGTGCTGCTTCTGGATGATTCTCCTTTTCTTTGCAATGCAAGAATCCTGGTACTCCTTTATGAGCTGTCACTTTGAAGCTTTGAGTCACTGATGTACTTGGTTTACCCATTCTGCTGGTAAACGTCTGATCAGAGAATTGTTATAAAAAGGAAATAAGAAAGAGACCAGTTCACTTTCCCATTGTATTCATGAACCCCATAGAGACGCAAGGAGATTTGCTTTTAGAAGGATGCCAAAGGTATCAATATTAAGTTCTTTCAAATAGCGAACCAGTGTATTTTAAGGGCAGAGATGTGTGTGTTCACGTGCATATGCCCACATGGCCAAACATTCACCCCAACAACTTAATCAGATATTGTTTCTCACAGTCTTTCTCTACCAATCACAACTTACACACATCCTTTGTCTTTTTTTCACTTTGTCCAAGACATTATGTGGTGGATAATCATCCTTCTAGTATTTCCCCCACTTAATGAAGATACTTTTTCCATTTTTCCTTCTCTTTATTCTGGTCCCTTTTACATTATTTTTTCTTATTTACTTGTTCATATCTACAAATATAATTAGGTCTCTAAGGATGTTCTTGACTGCAGGAGACTCCACTGAAAAGAAAATAAATATATAGTCTCGCCATGTTCCCTTGTTGGGGCTAGCGTGATTAATTCTTGTTTCCTGGTGGTTTGCTTTGTGTTGGAAAAGTCTCTCCCTGGTAAAGGTCATACAATAGGAACTTTTATTTCTGATGGCCATGTCAGAGACTGGGTACCTCAAATTAGACCAGGATAAGATGAGCCGAGTCCTAGCCAATGCCTGGGCTTGTCTTTGCCTACAGGAAATGGGGGTTTTTGGTGCACAGAGGCTGGTGGGAGTGTGGTTGTGATCACTGTACCGCAGAGAGGGCTCGTGTCCCCAAATTCCAGAAGTGTAGCCGGTGTCATGCTCTAGTCTGCAGACCAGTGAGCACAACAACACACCTGCACTCTCTTCATCATGCCACGCGCTTCCTTCTCTGTGTAGAACCCTTTGGGTGACGTTAGAGTAGGCGATTTGGGGAGAAGGTGCGGGGGAGGAGCAATGTGTCCATGGCAGGATGCCCAAGACGTAGACCGGAATTAGGCTCTTCCGAGAAGAAAACAATGAGAGTGACCAAAAATAGAACAACTGAATGTCTTCACCAGGTCTGGGAGCCCTGAGAGTGCTTTCTCAAACAACCACAGTGTTACATGTTTCCTTACACCGTGGGATGATTAAAAGACAGGACAGATGGCCCCCGGCAAGGCTCAACAAATGCACTGGGGCTCTGAGCAGGACAGAGCAAAAGGTAAAACAGATGTATAGTCAGCGTGTGGCAGGGCCGCCTGGACTGTCGATACCTGGGGGACACTGAGAAGGAGAGGGGTCCTTTCTGGCAAGTCACCCAGCAACTCTGACAGAGCCTGAAAGGAAGGCTGAGGGCAGGTTTCCAGGACACTAGAATTCACAGTGAGCTGATCTCTGGGAGAGAATTAGCTTTTTCTGGTCCTGGCACAGAAATGGAAGCAAAGACATAGGAGGTACATTAGAGCTGTTTGCTCAAGAAACATGCTCTCATATACTCTGGATACAGAATTTTTTTGGCACAGATATTTGCAATTTTTCACTTGACATTAACTTTAAATTTTTTTCTTATTTCTAGCTAGACTGTTTTAGCTAACTTAATTTCTTAACTGTTATAGGACCCAGGGCAGCACAATGGGTTCTACATTTAATCTCATAGACTTTATCAGGAGGAAGGATAGCATAGCAAGGTCATGCGTGTTCTCCCTGGAACTTGATCAAATGGTGGTGAAGGCAGGGGTGGCAGCAGTGTGTGTGTGTATGAGTGTGTGTGTGTGCGCGCGCACGCGTGTGTGTGAGAGAGAGAGAGAATGAGATTAAGAGATATTGAGAGAGAAAAGTGTAGAGTTGCCATTGTAAAAGGTTCATAGACTGGTAGCCTTTCTATACCCATTGATAAGGTTGTTTGGAATTTTGGTTGAAGGTTGGGGTAGGTGGTGATGCAAATCAAACCTCTACTTTCATAAGACATACTATTACAGTGATGTATATCGGGGGTGACATAGAGCTGAAATGCTCATCATTTACCCAGTTAAATTGGATCTCTTTTATTGTAGGAGAAAGATATTTGGCAAATGATCATGATTTTTCCTTATTTCTTAGATTTAATTTTTAGCCTTATAAAACAATTGGCTATGTGGCTGGCTCTGTGAAAAGTACAGATGTAACCATTAAACTCCATTTAGTCGAGTTGGGCCTTAACTTTCTCTTCAATCAAGTTTATTTAGGTAACTTTTGTTTTCTCACCACTCGATTAAGTTTTATTTACTTATGTGGAAAGCAGTAGTTTTCATTTTTGAGATGCCAGACAAAAAGATAGACCTTACCCACTCCTCATATAATTCACTTCCCTCTTTGGGCTTTGATTTTCTCACCTGTAACATGAGGCACTTGGATCAAATGATCAGAAAGATCTCTTCCAGTTCAATATCCTGTGAGTATGTAGTTTATATACATTCTTAGAATGGCTATGAGGATTTGAGAAATACAAAATATAAGCAAACAAATTTTTGTGTCTAAACTTATGGATTTCCTGGTTCTTAGGATGGGGCTGGGGGAATCAAATTTGCACATATATTTGTAATCCACACTTATTTATATACTGTGTTCATATCTAAATAACCTATTCTGGGTTAGCAAAAGACTTTATTTAGAAAGGACAAAGAAGTGGATGCCCTAGGAGAATATCTATGATACAAGTTATAAAGTTGAGTGATTCTGTTACCAAAAACAATACACACTATTTCGATATTTATTGGGGCTGCCGTTTAAAGCGGCAGGCTTCCAGTCCTACCTGTAACTTCAGCTGGGAACAATGGCAGAAAAAAGCTACCAATAAAGTGAGAAGCTTTTGTAAATTATATCCATGTGTCTCAGGGCTATTGAAGCTGGGGTCTCCCAAGATTTGTATCATCTTATCATTAGCACTTTATAGATGTGAGGGGTTTTAGTGATAATTTTTCAGCCAATCCCGCAGTTAAAGGTTTACATTCTTATCATCTTTACCGCTGGGAAAAGCAGAAGTGGAGGTACTCTGAAAGTGAGCTGACCAGTTCTGTATCAACGATGGCCAGAATTAGAATTCACACTTTCTTGATGAAGTTTCAGGCTGTAACTTGGACTTTTCTTTGTATCACTTAGGAAGAAAAAGAGGCATTTTTGTCTGAAAAATCTTGTCTCAGATTAACTCAATTTAAATGTGTCCCCACGTAATTGAACAAGTTTTTTAGAGATTCTTTTTTTATGACAGACAGGCAAATAAATGATTTTCAATGCCATAGAATTTGCATTTCATAAGAAAGTCTATGGGAATTAAAAAGAAGCATCTGAAACATTGAATTGATTTGTCATTAAGTGTTTTGAAGCTCTTCAAGGAGGTACTAATAAAAACACATAGAATCATTGGATTTTTGAGCAGGCGTTAGATATAGTCTGTTTACAGTTAGGAAAACACACTAAGAGAGGGTAAACGCTGGGGGAGGAGGTAATGCTTCAGCTGATATTAGAAGAAGTGAAATTCTTTAAATAGACAAGAGGGATCATGGTCGTTGGGTAGGGGGCAGAAAGCTTTCTAGGTAAAGTAGCAAGTTGTTCATAATGGTTGAAGTTGAGTGTTCATAGGGGAAAGTGGCAGAAGATGAGGCTGCAAATCTAGGCAGGGGCAGATCACAAAGGATCTTGTGACTCATGCTAAGGGAATGCACTTCATTCCATTCTATACACAAGAAAATACAGGAAAAATTACCAAAATTGTTCCTTCTCCAAATTTCTCTTCTCTTATGTGGTCCACATATTGGCAAATATAGAAAGTAAATCTAATCTCATGGAGCACTAGGGGGCACCACAGTAAAACTAACCGTGCTCAGATATCTTGAAGAGAGCTGACTCTTTTCCTGAGCAGTTAAAATTAGAAAACTTTTCTCAGGAAGCCAAGTGCTGATTCACATGTAAGAGGATGAACAACATCAGGGGGGTCTAATATTGTTCACTATTTACACAGTGATGATATATTCTAAATGAAAAATTTAGATATACATTCTGACCCAAGTACTCAAATTAGGACAGAATAATTTGGACAGGGATCATGCTGGAAAATGCCACACTGTCACATATGTACACACATATAGAAACAAATATACACACACAGATGAGAGTTGGGAAGAGAGCAGAAAGGCTCCTGGTATAGATCTAGGAATATGATCTCCTGATTTCTTTTCTCTGACCTCAGCCCCTAGCTGAGAGCACTGAGTAGACCCAGCCTTGCCTAGAGGCTGACCCAACCCTGCCCTTCCAATTTTTTTTTAATAGCAAGTACTTTTGTGCAGAATCTCAAAGGACTGCAGCTTTCCACCCACTTCAGGGATTCTCCATTCATGGAAAATGAATGTTAATCTTCTGGAGTCATTTATGTTAGAGGAGCCTTGTAGGATGTCATTACTATTTCTCCAGTGAAAAGAAACAACGGAGTTACAAAGTAGAAAGGTTATTTCCCACAGTCACAGATGAAATGTATGGTAGCATTAAGATGAAATTTATTCTCCAACATCCTAAGGCTTGTGTATTTTGTTTAGCCACCCAAACTTTTCATATCCATATCTTTTCAAATGAAGGAATTAAAACACTTTCTTATACAAAAATACAAAACATCTTTTCAAACTTTTGGGGGAGTTATTGGGGTGCAGAAAAGAGTATGCTGGACCAGGAACTAGAAGATTCTGGTTCAGTCCAGTCTTAGCTTCATGACTCTGGGTAAATTCCCTGAGTGTCAATTTAATCATTTCCAAAATTGTAACTTGGTTGTTGTAAGGAGCAAATGTTGTGTTACAGAGCTTTGTAAATGCTGAGATGATTATTCGTGAAATGCTTCTATAAGTATACCACTACTAAAATGTTTACCCTGTAGCACGTACACATACACCCCATGACTCAAACCTCAGAAAGCATATCATAGTTAAGGTTAACTTTAACTTCGTGGACCTTGACTTCCCTACTGTAATTTTTAGGATTGAAAAAAAAAAAACCCTTGGAATAATTCTAGCATTTTTGAACATAGATTTCTAATTAACAGCTCATGGCTGCATTAGACAACAAAGGAGAAAGGAAGGGGAGAATTTATAAGAGTATAAACTATTTTTAGGTTCAGTAGTCTGAAAGTGGTTCAGAGATCTAAAGTGACACACTTAGAACACATGGCCCAGGCTGGTTCCATTTCCTCCCACTTTGATATATTGCATCTAATTCTCCAATGACCTGACTGACAAATAGGGCAGAAAATTATATTTAGAAGAGGCATGCGGTCTAGTTCACAATACTGGGAACATTGGGATATGACTGACATAATTAAAATTGTTTTTTCTTTTCAGCAGACCTCTCATTCTGAAATGCACCTTAGGTGGATTATTAATTTGTGTAAATTTGTCTAGCTTTGACAACTTGTAAATGCAATTTAAGAACACACTCTGACAGAAAAATAGACAAATAGATCCAAACTTGAATTCTTCCAATACTAATTTAATAAGAACTTGTGGATAGAAAACCTTCATTCCCAAAATGTTGCATTGTATCTGTGGGGAACTGAGAGGTCCAGTGAGTTTAAGTGATGTACCCTCAGGGCTGGGCTTCCCTGTCAGTAGCCGCAGCATGAACCTAGAGAACCAGAGAAACCGTCAATGAAGGTCACGATGAAAATGACAATATTACAAAAAACTATAAACAAGGATCAAAATAGTCAGTAAGAGAAAATATGTTGGGTTATAAAATAAGTTGTAACACATGTATTTTACGGTTCAGTAATATAAAATATATTTTGAATTACTTGTGTGTTGGGTTTTGAACTTCCAAGCCCCTAAAAGTCTTAATCTGGCCCTGTATATGGTACGACGAAGACTGGGAACTGGAAGCTCTTTTTGGGGGGATAACTGAGGGGTATCACTGCTGGTGCTACTTGCAATAACAGTCCCTTGTTTTTGCAGATCTTTTCCCTACTTTTGTCCTCACTTCTTCGCTACAACCATGGAAGAAGATACATATTTGTGTGCAGTTTTACAATGAGGAAATTTGAGGGCTTAGAGACTTGCCTAGGTTTAGATAGAAAGGTCAGAGTTAGAACTTAAGACGAGATCTAAATTCTACTCCTGTCTCTTTCCATTACACTTGGCCATGACTTCATGACTCTTAGCTTTAAGAATTATTGCTGGCTTTTTAAAAATTTGTTTTCTTTTCTGGCGTTAGTTGTTTTTGAAGAAAAATTGAGGGAAAGATCTGTGATCTGGTGTAGAGGGAGGAAAGATTCCTTTCTAAAGGAATTTAAATCTACTTACACAAATGTAGATAACATGATCAATGAAGCTTTAACAATCACTTAGTAACTTATAGGTTATTTATTCTAAAACAGAGCCTTGCATGTGTGATATATTCATAGAAGGGAAAAGGGACCTGGATTTGGGCACTAACTCATCGTTTATTTTCTCTGAGCCTTATTTCTCTCTGTCTTTTTTTTTTTTTTTAAAGCAGTAAGAAGATTAGACTATATAATCTCCCCAGGCCTTTCTGGTTCTATGAGACTCTTATTCAAAGATCTACTTTAGTGTGATAGTGTGATTTGCACATTATTTAAAAATACCCGTTCAACCACATATTAGTTTCATAGGGCTGCCATAACAAATGACCACAAACTGAATGCCTTAAGACAAAAGAACTTTATTCTCCCACAGTTCTAGAGGATAGAAGTTCAAAATCAAAGTGTTGGCAGGGCCGTGCTCCCTCCGAAGGCTCTAGGGAAGGGTCCTTCCTCGGCTCTTGCTGGCTTCTGGTGGCTCCCAGCAGTCCTCGGTGTTCGTTGGCTTCTAGTTGCATCACCACAAGCTCCGCCTCCATCTTCACATGACCATCTTCCCTGTGTGTATCCCTGTGTCCTCTCGTCTCCTTTGAAGAACACCAGTCATATTGGGTTTAGGGCCCACCCTACTCTAGTTGACCTTATGTTAACTTAACTAATTACATTTGCAAAGACCATATTTCCAAAGAAAGTCACATACCGTATTTCCAGGTGGACATGAATTTTGGGGAGACACCATTCAACTCAGTACAAACCATTTATTCATTTACTCATTCAACAATATCTATGGAGCGTCAGTTACCTGTCAGACACTGAGGAAACAGTGATGAGCAAGACATGGTCTTCCCTGTGCTCCCATAGTCTCCAACCCAGTGGGGAAAGAGGATGGTTAAAGAAGCAATAACATAGTGTGTGATAAGTACTGGATAACCAAGTAGGGTACAATTCTCCAGTAAGAAGTTTCACAGAAAGCTATCTACCAGCTTCAGTACCTACTTTCTTGACTGGAATTATTCAGTGAATGTACTTTTCTTCTGCATTAGGTGCTTTGTTTCTCTTCGATTAATTAATAGGAAGGCTTTAGTTTAAAATGTCATTGTTGTTGTCACCACCACCATCATCATCCCACTGCCATTCTGTGATGATTTTTACAGTCACCAATCTCAGTTCACGCTAGAGTACAAGTGTGAAGTTGATGATTATCTAGCCTCATGCAAATGAGGCTAAGGGCTTCATTGCATGAACAGTCCTAGAGATACTCTTGACTGCTCATTAACCATCAAAGGGAGCCGCTTGGGGAGGAGGCCTGCTGCTTTTGTCAGAGCAGAGGGGTTTATCATGTTGAAAGGATCTTCTGTTCAAAAGGTCTTCTTATCACCCAATCCCTTGGGATTTCTCTTTTGAATGTTGTGATTTACCTAATCTCTGATATGGAAGCGTCCTTAGACACTGCTTATTCCACCATCTAATTGGGGTTGGACATCAAGATGAGGAAATTAGAAACTGAGGGAGGGAAAGGGCTAGTTCTGGCCTAAGACCACAACCCAGGTGTCCCTATTCTCAGCCCAATGCCTTGTCCGTGCTACTAGGTTGCCTTCCTAAGGCAATGGTCCCTCCTTTTTATGTAGCAAATGAGATGGGGAAGGAGTGACTTCAAATAGAAAAATACTGATTATAATAATTCTGCTACTCCATTTGTGCTCAAGGGTGAATGGAGCAATTTCAAAACTTGAGCAATGTATGGTGTTGGATAGAGCCAATGTCAGATATTATGTGATTATGCAGCCATTAGCTAAGATCTGGGATAGTCTAAGGGGCTAAGTTCCACCTTAGCATAGCAAATATTTGTTTACTGAATGCCATTATGTTTGAGGCATTGTAGGATTTATGGTAATGCAGTGGGTACATTGTAAATTGACCCTTCCAGTTGCTTAGAGACTAAGCTGCTACAAGAGTATTATGGTGGAGACTTACCCAATCACTGAGGTGAGGAAGCAAGTTCTTAGAAACGTTTTGGCAGATCCCTCTGTCAGTCTACTTTGAGGTCTTTGGGTTAATGTGGAAAGGGAAACCCAGATATAAGAAAATCTTCCCCTTGAGGCTATAATGAGTTGGTTGCCTTAAGTCAGTCACATAATATTGAAGGTGTGCTCATGTCACATGGATGCTTTTGGTTCATTTGGTTGCTTACCTGAATACCTGAGATTCCTCTTAGGAATCTGTTAATTACTAAGCATTCAGGGCAATGAAACCTCAGTTCTTGTTCTCTGAGATAGAGAGGAGAGGGTCAGTAACAGAGGTCCTTCTGAGGGATAGCCATTACTAAGTAAATTTGACAAGAAGAGTGTAAGTGGTTAGAGAGAGGAGGCTATATGGGGATATCACATGGGCTGTGTAGTAGAGAGGAGAGTGAAGGTTAAGAGAGATTGCAGCAAAAAGGTGCGGGCAGCGATGGTGAAGGGTGGTGATGGAGAAAGAAGATTTTGGATGACAATTAATATAGCTTTTGTTTGTGTTCATTAAATCCCAGTAGACTCTTTATTCAACAAATTTTTCAAAGCTACACATCTTCATCTCTAAGAAATGTAGCTTTTGGGATAAGGTTTGCTGAATGTGGAAGACCCTGTGGCCAAAGAACCAGTTTTTGCCCATTATTACTCTTCCTTTCTCTGAGTGGGGATCTGAACTTTCCTGATCAGAAGTGGGGGGCTTTCCCTTTGTAAGGAGGCTGTTTGCACTGATTACAAACTAAGTCCATCAGGATGAGAGTCTACCTTTCCCGCCTACTGTAATGGGTAATATGGAAAATTCCATCTTCGTCTTCAGAGGCTCCTGGAGACACACCCTGAGAGCTTGTGAGGTCATGCTTTCATGATCTCTCAGGTCTCCTCTGATTGACATGAAGCCCGGGGTGGGGGGAGGAGAGGTTCATATCTCAAAAGATGTGGGATAGTGAACTGGGGAGTCCCCGTCACAGATCTCTTTCCCCACCATCCTCCACTGGCTCACACCCCATCCTACTCCCACCTAAGATCTTCATACTATGGTATGGCCTGGTATCGAGTGAGGAAGGGCAAGGCCCACATAGTGAATGCAGAGCCCACATCCTGGTTTCATACTTGATGAGCATCCTTCCCTCCTGCCACAGATACACCTCCAGGACAAATGCCAAATGAGTATAAGGTTGGCAGCCTCATGCCACATCTGTCAGAATTAGAAACTTACACTCTCCAAAGAGGAGCTATTGAAACAAGCATCACTTTTTTGGGAACAGGGTACAGGCTTCTGGGTAAACGCTAGACATCAGACATTTCCCATCTGTGTTCTTAGACAGCTCAGTGATCAAAGTGCAGAGAGAGGCCAGGAAAGGACCTAATTCAGACTCTTCTTTGCAGCACCTGCTTGCTGCCTACTTTGTAGTTATCCATGGGCCTGCAGCTCTTTGCCAGAATAGTTGCGCCTAATCAGCTAAAGATTTTGCCAACTTGTACTACACAGACAACCTTGTAGGGTTGGCTGAGAGCTCTTTTCTGGAGAGCTTCTGGGTATTTTGAGACATATCTGAATACTCTGACAACTATCTAAAAACTAATATTTTAATCTTGTTCAGTATCGATGATGAAAATAATTGAAATTAATCTTGGATCCTCAGACAAATGCTTTCCTAAGGGCTCTTCACTCTTAAGATAGTGAAGTTATATTATCATGAACTTGGGGTTCAATCAAACTCAAGTTAATATCTGTTTATTCCTGAGTAAGTTTTTAACAGCACTGATTCTCATTTTCCTGCCTGTAAAACATGGGTAATTATTGTTCCTACTTCATAGGATTATTTTGAGCAGCAAATAAGGTAATGAATTTGAAAAAGAATAACACAGTGCATGGCATGTTGTAAGTTCTCAATAAGTTTATATTCTTTTTCTTGAATACACAGAGAACAGTCTCATTTCTAGACCTTTCTTCCATACAATGTCTTTTGCTTATTAGAGTTCTCTCTCTCTTTCAAGACCTAAGTCCAAGTCTTTCCTCCTTGAGCTGCCAAAGCCTGCAATGATTTTCGTGTTTTCTGGAACCTTATGGCATACATTGCCTATAGGTGTTTCTCAAAGGTTTTATGTAGAAGCACTATTTCCCCAACTGGCATATGAGTTTGTCAAAAATAAGGAATGTATGTTCTATCCTTTTGTGTTCCCAGACTTGAATGTAATGCCTGCCACATAGCAGGTACTCGATAATTATTGATGCTGTTTCAAACCACCAAATAATACGATAATCATATTATTCAACCAACTACTGAATAATACTTAACAGTAGAGCAAACATTTCTTAAGCACCAGCTTTGAGTCAGTCATGCTTTTTGCCAAGGGCATGGTTGAGGATACATTCTCTGGATTTAGGTCTTCAGAAGGTCACAGTTTAGTGTAGTAATTTTCAAATCCTGAAGCTTGGATGCTTGTAAAGATACAAATTCCTGGGTCCACCCAGACCTTTTGAATCAGAGTCTTTAAATAAGTCTTGGATAAGCTGGCCATCTGCACATTTTTACAAATTTCCTAGGTGATTCTAATGCGCGTTAGAGTTTGAGAACCACTGGGCTGGCAGACCTTCCCTCTGCATCATCAGCTGCTCCTTGGCATGACATGCGTGTGTTATTCAGTCAGTTTGTCAAATAGCCCATATATCAACTGCCTACTGGGTGCTCTGTTGTTCTTGTTTTCTTGGCTTCACTTATGACAGCCCTCAAACCCAGGAGGGAAGCCTGAACTCTGGGCTCTCCCCATGCAGTCTCATGTGAGACCACCACCCTGCCAATCTGCTGTGTGTGGCAACTTCTACTTTCCTCTAAGCTTGGCACCTAAGTGGACACAAGAAATGGAACACTAATGAAATCTTCATAGCAGTTTCTCCTCACTTGAAATTTGCACGAGGAGAAAAAAACCTGCTTGTGTGCTTTAATGAATATTGTACTGGATCAGAGGGCAGGAGTTGAATCACTTCACTTCTGAGGGACTCAGTTTCTTCATCTGTAAAATATAAGGTTCAACTAGAAGATGACTTCTTTTATACTCATGCTTCTGAGACCATCTCATTCAAACTTCAAGGCTGTATGTTGATTCTGGTGTGTAGACTTACAGGAGTTTGCATTTCACCTTTGAGGATGGGATGAGTTCTTCAGATTTTCCAGACTGAAGGAGCTTTTATTCTATAGCTTGTCCTTACATGGAAAGCCTCTGGGCTTTGATATTTTCCATTTTCTTTTAGTATCTGGAGAAGATCTGAGGATTTTGCTTTTCTTGCTATAAAAAAGACCATATTTGTGCATGTGGGTAAAATAAATATCTTCTGATTGTTTTCTGGCAACCTTTATCATGAAGACCAGATCCTTGATGGTATTGATGCTGGTAAGGGACTTCTGAGAATATGCAGATTTCTAATGCTGGGTAACCTTTAGGAGAAGGAAGAAAAAGCCTGAGTCTGGAGTTCCAGTCGATTTACCCAAGAGAGGAAGTCATGTGTGCTTTGCTTGCTGCCTGTCAGCATCTTGGTCTCAGAGAATGTCCTCTTGGTCACTACCACTACTGCTTCATCAGGGCACTTCAAAATGTTGGGAAATTTCTTTGATTCACAGAAACCTTTTGGAGATTTTGCAAAGCCAGTCAAATAATCAAATCATGAAGGCTTTTAGATCAGAGAGCTTGACATAAATTTGGGGATGAGGAGGCTTCATGTTTTTCTCTCTTATTAGAATTGACTTAGAGTTGCAGTTTTTAAAATCTAAATCATGGACAGTTAGTGCTGAAAGGGGTGCCTGTGTTCTTCCAGGTATTTTTAAAGATGAGAAAACTGATGTCTAGGGAAGTTATGAAACTTGCCAAAATGACATCGTACCTGCCTGGCTGGCATTAGAATCGGGGTTGCTACATGCTGAGTCCTGCACTCTTTGTGCTACTCCACAGGCTGCTGCTGACTTTAACATGAATGTGGCATTCAGGCTGGGGACAGCTGGCCAGGAGAGCAGTGGGGGCATTTATTTACCCAGGGGATTATGGTGGGAGGGTAATATGCCTTTTGAAGGGCCTTCTTCCAGAACAGTGCCTTAAGCACAAAGGACACTGATTAAGCCATCTCAATCAGTTTACAGAGGGGAGAGTCAAAGACTCAAGTCAACCCGAGTCAACACCACTCTCCATGTGCTCACCACTGAACTAATACTGCCTCTGAGGACCAGCCACTGGCAGGGCTCAGAAAGGATCTCCCTCCTTCTTCCGCTGCCTGTTGGTTTCAGCTTAGTAAGCCTTGTGATTATACTTATAAGGGAAGTAGGGGATTCCTCATCTGTGAGCAGTCCCCAGTGGAATCTGCTTGACTACAGCCACTAGTGTGCCAGAAGAGTGGGAAGCAGGGATTCCACTTCCCAGGGTATGAAAACAAATCCCTCCCCACACCTTTGATCAGGACATCTTGCCAAAAATAATGTTGTGGGAAGAGCTGTTGTTCTTGGCAGGCACACTGGGCATTTTTTTTCGGATTTTTCTTTTAGTAGGTTATAGAAGCATGTGGTACAAAGCTTAAAATACATAAAAAAGTAGACTATGAAAAGTAAGAGTCCTTCCCACTCCTGACCTCAGGCTTCCAATTCTTTTCTCCAGAGGCAACATTTGTGACCAGTTCCTTGGGTATTCTTTCAGATAAATTCAATGCCCATGCGAGCATTATTATCATTTTTTAACACAAATGGCAATCTACTTTATACAGGATTCTGCCCTTTGCTTTTTTCACTTAATATATTTTGGAGTTTGCTCCATACTGAACTTCTTTGTTCTTTTAACCACCAAATTACTCTAGACATTTTATCTACCAGGCTTCCTTTCTTCATTGCTTTACTTCTTTCTTGCTGTTGAATACACAATTGGTTCAAGTTATATTTTTCAAGCTGTTAAAAACTCAATGTTAAAAAAACTACACTCAAATATACTGAACTCTGAAGGATTAGACCAGTTTTTATTGCCGGTATGCCCTGAAAATAGGACACTTTTACAGTGAAAGAGCAAGCAGCCAGGAAGCTTCTAGAATTCACTCCCAGTGTACTCTGGGAGTCTGGGGCAATGATAGATTGATTGGTCACAACATTCTCCATGATGGGATCTCTATGACTGAATGGGTTTCTTAACAAGATGACCATTAAATGTTCTCTTATCCAAAATGGGAAATTGGGGCTCAATGAGCCAAAACAACATACCAAAGAAGAGTTTGGCAGAAATGGGGACAGATCTTAGATGCTTGATCAAAGAGCAGAATACTCCTAACTTATCTTAAGAGATGTTATAGAAAAGCAAGAGAGGCAAGTAGGAAGTCTGGGTCTAATCTTCACAGAAAAAGACCAAGTCTCTTGTAAAGTTATTCCGTCTTTAGGCTACTGCATTCCTGCTTGACAGGACATGACTTGTCAATTCCATTGGTTCACTTTTTTTTTTTTTTCTAAAAATATATCCTTTTTCTTCCTTCAGGGGCCACCTCAGTATCCTCCAATACAAAGTATCAGAGTACAGTTTACCAGTAAGTATTGTTAAAAGTTTAATTGATTCATGTTTTAAAAAGAATCTCTCTAGGCTCTTAATTTTCTCTAGAACACAAGATCTCTCCTTTTCCTTAGGGAAGCATTAAATCCTGGAATTGTTGGAACCTGCATATTATTTTCATTAGGGACAAAAAAGGTGTATAAAGAAGAAAAGGGGAGTAATTAGTTACCCAATATGTACTTGTCATTGTACTAATTACTTTATATGCCTCACTTAATCCTTCCAGGAACCCTTTGAGTAGGAATTATTCTCATTTTTCAGGTAAGGAAACCAAGGCTTTACTTCTTACAAGTCTGTCTGACTGTAAGACACGTCATCTCCCACTAATTCTATCATAGGACAAGATTTTACCTTAATGGGAGTTGGAGGAGGCCCCAGATATGAAGGCAAGGTGATACTTTAACTACTAGGAGAGCATTATTTGGATCCATGATTAATGATTGGACAACCACCTCTTTTATATGGATATTCGTTTGTTTATTAAGTTCTCCTGAGCCTGAATAAAGTATATCTTGCCCTCCATAAGGGGTCCTCATTTTCAATTCCAAGTATGCCCCCTGGGGCTTGGTACAAAGCAAGAATTAATGAATTGTGTCCAGTAGAGGGGACCTCTTCTTTCCTTCACCAAAGGACATGGGCCAGAGTGGGGAGTCTGAGATGTAGTTGCTTGGCCATTCAGAATGATATTGGAGCTGATGTGGAAATAAAAGAAATTTAGACTTTTTGGTGTACACCTGGAATGGCCCCACACAAAGCTACCAAAGCCATCACTCTGCATCCTCCTCCTTTTCTTCCCCCTGTGGCAGCAACTCTTCCCAAGTCACCTTCCAGGGAAAACTAGCAATAAAAAGGTAGACTGGAGAAGCAAGTCTATGTTCTTGAGCCCTTCCACCTGCATTTTACTGAGCCCATCCTGAGCCCATGGATGTGCATAGCTGAATTATTAAGCTCAAGTGACTGCTGGCAAAGGCCAGTGGTAAATGCTGTTGGTAAGTCTAATGGCTGGGGCATGTGAAAAATTTGCATTTCATGATCGGGTGGAGAGAGGATAGGGAAGAGTTAGAAGCAATTGCTTTGTGTGGAGGTGGTATGCAGGACCCGGGTAAAGGCACTCCTGTCACGCTTTGCCCTAGTCTATCCACTGAGCAAGAAAAGAAGCACTGAAATCGCCAACCCTTCCTGGTTTTGAAAAATCAGGGAAACCTCGAAGTTCCATTTCCTGCCACAGGTCTGTTGTGACAACTACCAATTGCTATACTCTTTCAGCTCTCGAATCCCAGCCCCATCTCAAACTCTCTTGGCCACTAGTATTAGCTTGCCTCTTCTTCTATTCCACAGGTAAAGCAGATTCCAACCCTATGTAGAAACATGAAGCTCTCTTCCTTTCATTCTTCTCAAAATCTCTCCCTATCACTTCCTCTTCATATGTTTCTAGACATTTTGGAAGGTTGTTGCCCAATGCTGTGCTAAGAAATCATTCTCTTTTTTTTTCTCTTCTTGCCATACCCTCCTTAGAATGTGAGAATGAGAAAGGTTTCATCATCACATCCCCAAACAAGGATGAAACCATGAAGGTGCAAGACAACTCAATCATCATCAACTGTGATGGGTTTTATCTCATCTCCCTGAAGGGCTACTTCTCCCAGGAGCTCAGCCTCAGCCTTCATTACCGGAAGGGTCGGGAACCCCTCTCCTCCCTGAGCAAGGTCACGTCTGTCAACTCCATCGTGGTGGCCTATCTGGCTTTCAAGGACAAAGTCTACTTGAATGTGACCACTCACAATACCTCCTGCGATGACATCCAGGTGAATGGTGGGGAATTGATTCTTATTCATCAAAATCCTGGTGGATTCTGCGCCTACTGAGGACCTGATGGCTGCACCTAAGCCAGGCACCAGCATGAACACTGAGCTGGGGGTGAACAGAACACTGATTCTTCCTTGGGAGTGGAGGAGTCATCCCAGCTCAGCCCCTGTATCTGGCCACACCGGATGTGACCAGAAGCAGATCCCCTCTCCCCTCCACTCAGGGATATTTAAAACATATTTTACATACCAGTTAACTTTATTTATCCTCATGTCTTCTAAATCACCTAGCCCTTATCCCTCACAATTGCCTCAAGCCTATTAGGCACCTCTGTGAGAATGAGAAACTAGGTGCCACTTCCTTAAGATGCATTGTTTCTATTGGTCAGGAAATTGTTATAATAAACTTTCTTTTTTGAAAAAGACACTTGACTACCATTTGCTGGAAATTTGACATCTGGCATTGTCAAAATGAAGAGGACCAAGGAGGGGGTTATAAATCTGCCAAAGGTGGTGTGGACCAACCCCTGGCAGCCAAAACTGCCTCTCCAAGATGAAATTGGTTGCACTTTGCATATTGCCTAAATACTTCTCTCATTTGGTGGAGTTCAAAAGGAAAATCAGCTTGTGAACAGCTGTCAGGAATTGATGAAGTAGCCGGCTAAGGAATACTCTGTGCTCTGGGGTTTTTTTCTTTACCACTTTGCTTTCACGGCCTCCAAATGTTCTTAATAGAAATTTCCCTCCAAAGAACCATCCTGGGGATGTGATGCTGCGAAAAATCTATTCAGTGATCAAAGGAAAACCGAGAGAGATTTTTCTAATCTGGGAGAGTGAGATAATTTATCGCTCAGGAGAGCCATGAAACTGGACCTCTCAGGGTAAAAGTCAATAAGGATTTAAACAGTCTGGGGAGGAAAACATATTCTTTGCCATGGACAGGCAAATCAGCACCTGTGCATCCTCCTGCTTATGGTGAGATACACACTCAGCCCCATGCCTTGGACGCATATGCCGCATTGCTAGTTTCAAAAAATGAAGTGATTCTATTGTCAAATGCAACTTGATGTCAAAAGACCCTGAGAAGCTATTGTATCATATGAAGAATAATCATCTCTGTCTAGAAACACTGTAATATCACATATGATCTCACATTGATAACTGACTAGAAGGACCAATAATCAGCCAACACCAAGGCTGATTTAAGGGAATAAGATCCCCTTATGTTTAGTTTAAATGTCCCCCTTGATGTATCAGGCTTATGGCATTGTGGACAAATGTGATTTTTCATAAGTCAAATTTCCAGATTATTTGTTAGTTCTCAAATTTTTGAGAAAAATTTTTTTAATGGTAGCAAATATTTCCCTTCCACTTTAAATAGAGTGCACAACATATCATAGAATCTTTCTGGATGATTTTGTGTCGTTACAGTAATTATATTGTGCTACAATACACTGATATCTTCAGGATCTCCAGAAAGGTGGGCGGCAGCTTGCCCCTACACTAAATGGTCTCAATTACATTTGGATTTTTTTTCTGTCTGTTTAACACATTTTTCCATCTCCTCTTAAGTGTCTGTCTATCTCCAACTATGTTCCTGCTCCTCTCTTTTAATCTGTTATGGAGAGAAGCTAAATAAAAATGCTACATAAAAAGAAGCTAAATAAGAGAAATTGTGCGTAAGGTAAGGGTAACTGAGCTCTGAGCGGCCACTGAGGCACTCACATAATTGTAATCATAGGCAAACATTTATGGAGGGCCTACTGTGGACCAGGTTTTGGGCTTAATGCTTTACATGAATTGTTCTGAGCAAGATATTCTGTGACATCTGCCTTGACTACTCAGAGGATTTAAATACGTGTGTGTGTGTGCATGCGTGCATGTGTGTGTGTGTGTGTGTGTGTGTGTGTGTGTGTTGTATACTTTGTTATTGACTATGGTCTGCAAAGTCAAAGTTACTCAGTGAGTGATATCTAATAGGTACATGTTTATGACTATAGATAATATTTAAGAAAACGTATGTTTACTTTTTTGAGTTTGGGATTTCTGACTGTATTTCTCCTGCAAATGCACATTCCAGACCTAAGCATAGTTGTTCTGTGGGTCATTTGTCTCTGGTGTCACGGCCCCTCCTCACAGATGCCCACTCCATTAGGGTACACATGGCCTCCTTCAGCCACAAAGGGATATTTCTGCCATGCATCAGCCTCATTCCCCCACCTTCCACTCATCAAAATATGTATGATGTCCCTTTCAAGTCATTCCTTCAAAGGGATAATTAACCCTTCTCTGGATACAACAGAGTTTTGTGGAAAGAGAACTGAATGAGAAGTCAGGAGATTGGAATTCTAATTTTGAAGATTTTATTTATTTATTTTTTCCCCCCAAAGCCACAGTAGATAGTTGTATGTCATAGCTGCACATCCTTCTAGTTGCTGTATGTGGGACGCGGCCTCAGCATGGCCAGAGAAGCGGTGTGTCGGTGCGCGCCGAGATCCGAACCTGGGCCGCCAGCAGCGGAGCGCGCGCACTTAACCGCTAAGCCATGGGGCCAGCCCTGGAATTCTAATTTTGACCCAGTCACTAAGTAGCCAAGTGACCTTGGGCAAATAATTTCCCATTTTTAGATCCTGCTTTCTTCTTTTGTTAAGTGATCATTTTAGAATCTTATGTTCATTGTGCTGTGAATGTACATATGATATGTGTATGTACTGGTTGCTATGAGTCAAGATGTGTAACTTTCTCTTTTAGTATATGGATTTTTTTTGTTTTTTTTGGACAAGCTAACATCTTCCCTCAGCCTTCCTGGTGATTCCTGCAAAAGCAGTACCACTTGTTACTTAGTGATTCCTATTTAGGGAATGGCTTAAGGGATCCCAATCTTGATCCAAATCATAATTTGTTCTTAAGCATACTGGGCAGGTCCCCTATTTTAAACCATAATTTTGTATTTAGTGCTTTCCTGGCTCTCAGAGAGTATTAATATTGATATTAATAATATAGCTAATAATAATATTGATATTTACATGGAAACAAATAAAACAACTCAGTATTTACTACTGGTTAGAGTGTTGGAGTTTTTATTTATCTTTCTCTTCCTTTCCTCACTCTGATCAGCTAATTCCATGATGAGGGAAGATGGGACAAACATTCTTGTTTCCTATCTGCCTCCAATTTCAGTCATCAGAATTATGTCCAAGGGGTGGGTGAGCTACCAAAGTCCATCTTTGCTTTTGGAAAGACATTCACTGCATGTGCTCAAGGCGCCTCTTCATGGTTGAAGAGACTGATTCAAATAGAATTCTACTGTGTACTATTCTTCTTTCCCTTGGGACTTCTTACCTCATTTCTACTCCTGGGATGATCTCTTTGAGTATTATGTCCCTTCTCCCTTGTAGTAATTACATCTACAGTCTCAAGAAGAGGGTTTGTGTGCAGTCTGGCCACCATGGCCCCTGGGCCACCTGTGATGGTGTTGGTGCCTCTGTCCTCCTGGAGATGCTCCTCTTCCCTGGCTTCTTTGACTTCACCCCTTTCTGGTCTCCTCTTTCCCTCTGTTCGCTGCCTTTCTTTGTCTCCTTCACCCCTCTTCTTCCTCCCCCCAACCCCTTAATGCTGGTGATCTTCAGGGCTCTACCCTCAGCCTTGTTCTTTCTCTACACCAGAGGTCACAGTCTGGCAGCCAAAAAGCCACAATCTTGACTAGGTATGAGTTAAATTTGTTTGTTAATTTGAATTTAGTTGCCAACATTTAAACATTGGAAAATTTATGGCTTCTTTTGATAAAACAAAACAAAACAGGAGATCTGGGGATGCTGGGCCTAATTTTGGCCTGGCAACAATCATCTCAAGCAGAGTAGCAGCCTCTTTCTTTAGAGAGACTGTACTCTCCATTTCCCCAGAGTTCCCTCCATTCAGACAATGTGCAAATGCGCTTATACCAACCTGCTTCACTCATTTGCTGCCTGGCAATGGGGTATTTGAGTTGTGATCTCTGCTCTATGCACTTGCCAATTTCATTGATTCTTATACCTTCAACCACTGCTCATTCACCAATGATATCTAAAACTATTCTCCAGCTCAGATGTCTTCCACTCTGGTGTCACACTTATTGTAATCATCTGTGTGATTAGTAATAAAATGCCATTTGTTAAGTACTTATGCTAGGCATCACGTTAGACGTTTTATATAAATCATTTAATTCTATCTTTTAACAACACTTTGAGGTAGGTATTATTATTCCTATTTTACATAAGATAACCTGAGACTCTCAGAGGTAAAGTAACTTGCCCAAAAGCATGCAGCTAATAAGTGGTGGCACTCAGATTCAAGACCAGGGATAGGTGACACCAAAGACCATGCTCTTAACCACTGGTACCCTGCCTCTGGGCAGCTCCATGTGGATGTAATGGGCACATTTACTCAGGATGCTCACAATATAACGTCTTTTTCCTCACCTAGCCCCGTCCTCCTCCTGATTCACTATGTTGGTTAAAGGCATCAAAATCCTTCCTGAAGCCAGAAGCCCCAGCGTCATCCTACTTTCCTCCTTCTCCCTGTCCCTACCCACTAGTCTGTGGACTATGGCTGCACTATGGACTATGGCTTCTCCTCATTAGCTCTCTTTTAGACTATTGCAGTAACCTCCCACCAGGCCTACATGCCTCCGTGAGTTCTAGCCATATTAAGAAGATGATACACCCTAGTTCAATGAATGAATGAATGAACAAAATGAAGCAGAATTCCATGGTGGAAAGCTTATGGTGTTTGGAGCCTAGTTTTAAATCCTGACTCTGCCATTCACTAGTGGATGCTCTTGGCAAGTTTTTATTCTTTCTTTTTTTTAAACCACTCTAAATATTACTTTCCTTATGTGTAAAGTGGGCATATTAATACATCCATTCTGAGTTATTGTGAACATAAGAGTACCTAGTATATTGCCTGGAACATGGTTGGTCTCAATACCTAATAATTATTAATGTACAAAAGTCACTTGCTTCACAAGGCAGAGAGTAAGTGCCAAATGAATAACAGAGTTGTGAGAGTTAAGGGGTGGAGAGATCACTGAAGCATAATGGAAGAGCTTTGCAGGATTTAGATTAGAGAAGAAGAGAGAAGGAGAACATAGGGGGGGAAGAACAGCATGTGCAAAGGCCTGGGGTACAGATTCTCATGGTGTTTCCTGGGGACAAGGAGCTTCCACTGTGGTTACGGCACTCATACACTCATTCCTTTATTGGAGCATATTCTATTTTCCAAGATAGGAGTTTGTATTTGGTTATGGTTGGAGATAAGGATTAATGAGTAGTTTGGGGACAAAATATTGGAGGCATTAAAGACACAGCTAAGAATTTTGGATCATGTCCTGCAAAGGGAGACACTGAAGGTTTCTGAATAAGGAGAATTTATCATGATTTGGGGGAAGAGCCTAAGTTCTTGACAATATCACGTTTTGTTTTGACCCAATTCATATGAATACCTTATTTTTTGTCAGTTGAATAAAAGCTTTTAATTACTTTTACTAGAAGAAAATAAGAAAAACAAATGTCACAAAAGCTAAGTTTTTAATAGTTTTGGCAAAAGATATATAGAGAGCTTCTCATTAAATTCACAGTGATTGTTTAATAAAGACCATACTGGGTGATTTTTAAGTTATTAATTAAATATTTTTTAAAAAGTAGTGTTTT